TACATAAGGGACTTTCATTTGGAAATGAATGAAACCCTCCACACTTGCATGGTTTTGTTGTTTTCCAAAAAGGATCATCTTGAACACAAATGCTTCATTTAAAACAGTGGTTTTCAACCTTGGGTTCCCAGATGTTCTTGGACTAAAACATCCAGAAGCCTGCAGTACTAGCTGTGGTAGCCAGGATTTCTGGGGACCAAAGGCTGGGAGCTGCTCATTTAAATGAAAGAAAAGTAAATAACAATTTTGTATTTTTTTTTGTTTCCTGTCTTTCACTTGGCATTTCTTTCACCCAGTGTCCATCAAATGACCCAGGTGTCACATTCCCAGGCATTACAACAGCAGAGTCCAATAAGCCAGTCCAAAGTCAGGAATTCTGGGAATGCAGAGCCAATATCCAAATACCAAAGCCAACTCACACAACATAGTCCAGGGTCAGAGTCCAAAGCCAAAACACACAATGTAGTCCAGGGCCAAGAGTCCAGAGAACATGGTTCAAGGTTGTCAGCTGCGTGGATACAAGCCAGAAGTCTGACTTGTTGCTTCCACAGATTTTCAGCCGCTGAGTGCTGTTTATATAGTAAAACAGCGCCTTGAACTGCTGGAAGCCTTTTCATCCTGTCAGTACTCAGGGCTAGTTGATTGGATGTTTCTGCAGGCAGCCTTCAAGCGATCCTCTGACCTTTTGGTCATAAGTCTTAATGCATGCCAGGTCAACACCCTCATCCAGAATTACATCATGGATGAGGGCAGCCTTATTTTGTACTGACCTGGCTTTCATCAACAGCACCGTGTGGCTCGAGAGCATTCTCCTCAGCCACAGTTAACCTTTCAGGTTCCAGATCTTCGGCTGCACTCATGACACCAGGAAATGTTACCAAATAGGGTCCTGGGGGCTGTTCTCAACAGACAATCAGATCTATAACTTAAGAAACACCTTTAGGGACTGGAGTGTAGGGGAATTCTAGTTTTCTCCCGACAGGCAAGCTTGCTCAGCCAACTTCCCCACACCTGCTGCCAGCCTATCCTCCCACCCCTTCAGAGTAGAATTCCAGTCCAGCAGCCCCTCTTCATTATTCATCAGCCAGTCCTTTTTCTTTGTGGTTTGGCATCTCATCTGCACCAGATAAGCATGAGCTGAGACAACAAGCAGCTAGTGAGGCTCATTTGGAATGTAAGCCAAGAGAATGATTTGGAGAATTTCCACCAGGTTGGGTCTGGGAACTCAGTAGGATTTAAGATAATCATGAATAGTTCAAGCCTCAAATCAGTCTAACATACTATTTTCCCATATCCCAACTCCAGCAGAATTGAGGATGTAAAATAGGTAGATGAGGGATGTGAGTCAGAAATAGACAGAAGGTGGGAAGGAAGGAAAAGAGAAAAGAAGAGAGAGGTAAGTAAGATGTATGTAGAGTAAGAAGGAGGTATGGATAGAATCCCTATTTACAAGAAAGAAGGAACAAAATAAAGAGAAACAGAGGCTGGTACAACAACCAGATAAGCAATTTAGTGTCTCATGAAGATGATGAGAAGGATTTGGATTCTTTTGCACTATTATTATTATTATCAGGAATGAACTATGATCTGGTTAATTTTCACATGAAGATGATGAGAAGGGTTTGGATTCTGTTGCACTATTATTCTTACCAGGAATGAACTATGATCTGGTTAATTTTCTTGAGTTATACACCAGAATTTTGTATTGCCATTTTTAATGAGCGTATTTGCTGACCCAAATGCCAAATTGTAATGGAGCTAGTTTGCATACTATTAGTAATACTTGATGTTATTTAGTCGTTAAGTTGTGTCCGACTCTTTGTGACCCCATGGACCAGAGCATGCCAGGCCCTCCTGTCTTCCACTGCCTCCCAGAGCTTGGTCAAATTCATGTTGGTAGGTGTAATGACACTGTTCAACCATCTCATCCTCTGTCGTCCCCTTCTCCTCTTGCCTTCACACTTTCCCAGCATCAGGGTCTTTTCCAGGGAGTCTTCTATTCTCATGAGATGGCCAAATTATTGGAGCCTCAGCTTCAGGATCTGTCCTTTCAGTGAGCACTCAGGGTTGATTTCCTTCAGAATGGATAGGTTTGATATCCTTGCACCACAATTTAACCACAAGGTTTCCTCCAGCACCACAATTTAAAAGCATAAATTCTTCAGCGGTCAGCCTTCTTTATGGTCCAGCTCTCTTTCCATACATGGCTACTGGAAAAACCATCGCTTTGACTATGTGAACCTTTGTCGCCAAGGTGATGTCTCTGCTTTTTAAGATGCTGTCTTAATATTAAGATGCTGCCTTAATAAGTAATACCACAGAGTACTGATTTTGTGTTCTTTGACTCTTGGCAGTCCATCCATATTGCACAGTCAGTTCTGTTTGCTTGCTCTTTAGAGATAAAGTAATTCCCACCCACCCCTTTCCCAATCTATTTCATGTTCCTCATTTGATTCTGCTCTTTCCCCCATTCTATTATCAAATAAAATTACATCTCTTTGGTCTAGCCTGACTCTTCATCTGTCTGGCTTTACTGATATATATGTCTGAGAAACTGATAACTTCAGATGGTCTAGCTTTGGATATTATAATAGAAGACACTCTGATGTGTCTCCCTTGCTCTCTCTTTTTTCTTAAGGTTCTTATTAATGAGTTTTGTAGCCAAAGGTTTGGTACAGTGCTTTTTCTTCATTGTTGTAACTAATTCTTGTCAAGCTAGGGAATTTGTCATTGGAATCCTGATAATGTCCTTTATTCTTTAGTGCTCAAGAAACATGGAAGTGGATTATACCAAATCTGTTCAATTAATAAATTTCAAACTAGCCAGTCAATCAATGAATTTAAAGAGAGCTCCTCATCCCCTGCACTCTGGATTGACACAGAGGGTTTCAAAAGCTTTGTTTTGTATAATCAAGTGTTTGTGGGGGATTTTGTTGCCTAAAGACAAGAGCTGACACTTCTCATCTTGGCATGACAATGTAACAGAACTGTAGGCATTAATTTCTTACATTATGAAATTAGGAAGCAGAAATGGCGGCGGCGGCACTATGAATACATATGAACATGATTTACATTATATGTCCATCTAAGTTTTATTTGATGATGCACACATAATTCAGCGAAACTCATTGTAGAAAGCATTGGCCAGAATTCTACTGGCATTTGCATCAAGTCGATGTGCCTTACCATAACTTGTTCGTTGTGCAGTTGTGCACATGATCAGACACCTATGTGAGATGTGTCCCTGAACCTGCATCTGTTCGCTGCAATTTGCTACATTACACAAATCTTACATGAACACCAGTAGGCTTCTGGCCAATATAAAAGTTTTATATTTCTTCAAGGGGGAATCCCAGAACTGATGAGAATGTCAAATGAATTGCTTTCTGCATCATATTCTGCATTCTCTTTTCGTCAGTTAGTAATGGGGAGGTGAAGGAAAGCTAGAATGAAACTCTCAGTTTTTTTCTATCTACCAGAGTAGCTGCTACTAGAATTACGAGAGTAACCAAAGACCTTCCTTGTTCTAGCAAGTGGATATAGTGATAATGAGGCTTTGACACTGCAATACTTGGGGCGGCTTACATAGATAAAAATGAAACAATATAAAATATATGAAACCATAAATTTACAATTTTAACAATTAATTTAAACAAACAGTCCCAAGATGGCATGAATCAAAAGAAAAAGAAGAGAAAAAAAATAAGACTCACTTAATTGACAGAAGGGAAGGCCTGCTTGAATAGCCAAGTTTTCAGCTGACTTTTGAAAACACCCAGCGAGGGTGCCATCCGAATTTTGGCAGGAAGGGTGTTCCACAGCTGAGGGGCCACCGCTGAGAAGGCCCGGTTTCTTGTTTTTTCCTTCCAGGCCTCTCT